GCAAAATTCAAAATTTCCTACCAGCTGAAAATATTAGGTGTGTCCCGCGCGCTCATATGACCTTATGCAGTTGCGAGCGCCGTAAAACACTTTACAAAAACAAAAAACAAAAAACAAGCTCATGGGACAACTGAGAATTGACGAACCTCTTTGTTCCCGCTTTCTCACGGCTATGACTATGACTCTGGTAACCTTACCACTAGACTACACCGACACCATCAGGGCCATAGGGTAAGACATAATATGGAAGATCAGTGAGTGGGTGGCTGGTGGATGCTCTGGTGTGGTTTGCTTCTTTTTTCCTATAAAAACTATCGTCCTTCTCTCCCCTCCTCCTTTTTTGTGTTTGTTACTCTCTTGTAACACCTCTAATCTTCGGCACTTATATGATCTTATTGTATTGCAAGTGCTGTAAAACGTTTACTGAAACTTAAAAAGACCAGTTAGAAGGAAATACACGAATAACACGCATAGCTCGAATTCGTTGGGACCGGCTTCGGTAGTTCGAGGATATCTTACAAAGATAAAGAAGGGGGGGGGGGGGGAAATCGGGACTGCAGGTACAGTTCGACGGGTGCGTGATTTCGAGTCTTCAATGTTCATTAACCTATCTGTGTTATACTGTCGTAACTGTACATATACACGCGAAAACACATACACATGTAAACACAGTGGCGTCGGTGGCCTAGTGGTTAGACTACTGGACTCGCAATCAAGACAATGCGGGTTCGGGGGTTCGATCCTCAGCTCGGTCCGACGTTGTGTCCGTTGGAAAGGCACTTTACACGAATGTCCCACTTGGCTCGGTCTTTTCGGAGACGGACGTTAAACTCGGGGGGTGGGTGGTTGGCGGGCGCTCTGGTGGGGTTTGCTTCGTCTTTCCTATCAAACATCTATCTTCCTTATTTTCCCCTCCTACTTTTTATGTGTTTGTTCCTCTCTTGTAACACCTCTAATCTTCGGCACTTATATGACCGTATTGTGTTGCAAGTGCCGTAAAACACGTACTAAAACTAAAAAACTCGGAGGTCCCGCCTCTTAAACAACCTAATAGTGTTGATAGGGGCGCCAAACCTATACCATATTCGCTATTTATTACTTTTTACTCATGTAAACATTAACATCCGGAGCCGGGAGAGACGGATCTCACCAGGGCTCAAATAAATAAATCATGAAATGGGAGACGACAACAGAAGTACGTTGAAGCAATTCAGTGTCCGGGTCGACGACTTCACATTTCATGGACTGGATCATGAATAATTATAATGTTTTCTCCATTTTTTAAAGCAATACATCATTGGGAATAAAAAAAAAAAAACGAATTCTTAGTTAGCTGTTCAAGGGTGGTCTTTTTTTAACAGCATTTGTTGAATACATGTACCTCGCGACCTGCAGTGCTTTCTTGTCCTATCTCCATTAAAAAAAAATATTATTGAAAATGTGACTTCTTCTTAAGCTCACTCTTTGTTAAGAACTGTTTTTACTATTATTAAAAATGGAGATAAGATAAGAAAGCACTTAGGTCGCGACATATATTTAGGCAGTATTTAAATAAAGTACATGTATGTATTTATATGTTAAGCGCGGTTTTTAAAATTCCAAACGACACATTTTTCAGGGTATACCGTGAGCCTATATTCTTTTTATTGGCAATCTTGTGAGGTAGGGGTACTGAGTGGCTTGAATATTTATATGGTGAAATGAATGATGTGTTTATGACTGTGTGAATTCATCAATGTGTGCGAATGTGTCTGGGTGAGCTTTGTGGGATTGTTTTTACTCAAGGATATACTGGAGAGAGAGAGAAAGAGTGAGA